AGATATTTAAAAAAAAAAAAAGTAGAAGCTGATGGCTGTCTCTTCTGAAACAATGAGACAACACTGGAGACGTAATGTAGCAACTGCAAAGTATTGTGAGCAATGTTAGCCTCCCATTATACCACTTCAAAACACAAATAAGGGATATATGTAATTACATTATATATTTTATATATATGTGTATGTACAAAAGTAAATAACATTGAAAATGAATAGGGTGCCTTTTATAGGCTTTTTCCTAGTGCCTACTTTTTGCTCTTTAAATGTATATGCAAGTCCCTTTTTTTTTCAGGATTCATAAAGCATCATTTATTACTAAGATGAGAATTATGGGTTTGAAAGATTTACTGGAAATACAAGATGTAATTTGGTAATTTTGGAGTTTAGTAGTGTCATAAACCCTTGAGATTTATGCAGACATTTGGGTATATAAGTAGGTATTCTCATTTTTGCATTAAAAACCATATAGAGCTGCACTAATATTAGCTAGCTGGTGGCTGGGTTGGAAGTGTAAATTACTTGATTATTTGTTTCCTTTAGTCTGCAGGGTCAATTGTCCTGCAAGATTTCCCATGTATATATCAAAAGTGGTTTCTTAAGTTCCTGAATAAGATAGTTATGGTATCGCTTTGTCTAAATTCGTTACTGCTTCAGTCTTCTGTGTGAGATGTGAAAACAACTCTGCTTTTTGGGCAAAACACGTATCAGCCTTCGTTTTGATGTGCATTAGTGTTAGTTCACCGAGCTTTACTTAACATCTGCTTGAGTTACGCTGCATGTTCAGACCTGCAAAATTAGGTAGGCCGATGGTGCCTGGGGTCGTTGGATTCAGGTAGGATCATTACTGGCTTTAGAATAACTGGATTGCACAGAGCTCATGGATTGCAACTGATCATAGAATCATAGAATGGTTTGTGTTGGAATGGACCTTAAAGATGATGATGATCATCTAGATGAGAGTTTAATATGTCTAATGAAACTTGTTATCAAATTGGTACTTAAATTTTGTAGCTGTTTTGGGAAACTTTTTCCATAGTTTTTGCACCAACTCATCTTCCTCATTGCACTGCCTGCTAGATGACTCTGCGAGCTTCCCTGAAGTAAGGTGGCTGCTGGTCACTTGAGTGGATGTTCACTCTTTCTTTGCACTGTTATCTTCCTGTTCAGATCATGTACAGATTTGTCACTTGCAGTCTTTTTAACTTTTAAAATAGCATAGCAAAGATCTGAACGTTCCATTTATGAGTAAAGCATTTGTATCCTATTAAACAGTAGTTATTCAAAAAGAATTAATGAAGATCCACGTGTTTTTCAGTCTTTTTTTTAATTATTTCTCTTTAAAACAGGTAGTTATGCTTGTACTAGCATGGAAGTTGGATGCACAAAACATGGGCTACTTTACATTACAAGAGTGGTTAAAAGGAATGACATCACTACAGTAAGTGCTTTGAAAAAACTCTTAAAGTAGTTACAGTAAACCCAGTTTTCTAGAGAAAAAACACTTTGGTGTTTTGACTCATAAGACCTAAAGCAGAGAACGCTAATGTGGAGTAGCAGTCATGCATTTTTGATCCATTTATGGTGGCATGGCCACTTAGAGACAACTTGAAACCTGACAGCTGCACGTTTAAATACAGTTGGATTAAAATGTCTGCAGTCTCAAGAAAAGAGAAATGTCATGAGCTTCGACGCTGTTTCTGCCCCCAAGGTCATCTCCCTTTGCCACTGGATTGGACCTGTCTGTTAGACACTGGTATGCTGTTAGGGCACGTGTACTTTAAAATGCTGAATAATACAAACCCTTTCTGTGACTCTGTGTTGTCACGTCCTTTTAAAGAGGTAGTTTCTCCCGTTGAGGGCTTATCTGCACGGTATAATTGACATAAATGTAGTTGAATAATCACATTTCATACTGAGTTGGAGAAATGACTGTGTTTTGAGTTGTCTTCCAGAACAGAATTGCTAAAACGGTGTGGAAAGTTCTATAGGTTCGGCAAGACTGTAGAAGTATTGTTTCACTCCTGTGGTCTGCTGGTTGCTTGCCATGTCTGGACAAGCTCTTAGTTTAATCTGTTGGAGAGTGCATTTTCTACGAAGCCAAAAATCTTTTTATCGGAGCACCAGTGTAAGACTTTGCTATTTTATCTAGATCTGTTTCACACTGTGGGTTTAATTAAGGTGTTTTATGCAGACAAACTCATAAACACACCTTTGTACAGAGTGGTGCATTTTGAAGAGACTGATGGGTGTACATGTTAGAGATTGTTTTCTAAAACGTCAGACACCTGTGTGAGAATGCAGGCTCTAAATTCACTTTGTGCTTTTCTTGTAGATGTGATACTACAGAAAAACTGAGAAATTCTCTGGATTACTTGAGATCTTTATTAAATGAGCCTACCAATTTTAAACTTATTTATAGATACGCATTTGATTTTGCACGGGTAAGTACTGTGGCAGTCCATCCTCTGAAATTAAAACTTTAATTTCATAAGTAATAACTGAAAGACTGAATAGTTCTAAGTGTGTTTCTCAAGATGCCACTCGGGTTTGCTTCTAAGAAATGCAACTCTTCAGGTTTTAAAATACGTGTATGCAAAATGCCAGAAGTGGAAAAGAAAAGTAAATAGGATGCTTGATGTTCAGTGTTTTAGTGCTTTGACATGTTTTGTTACCTCTCTGCTTCGAGCTGTTTGATGACTTCAAGGAAATCATTAGGCTCTATTCTGTTGCATAATGGAGCTTTGCCACTTACTTCCGCTGGCTTTATAATTATCCCAGTTTTCTTTCTTAATGTTTTGAATTTTGTGAGCATAAACATATTTAAAACAGGAAGGCACTTCAGGTGTTTCTGCAGGTGGTAAAAATAACTAATGATTAAAAACTGAGTGTGATATAGTATAAATACTGGTTCAGAAGGCTGATGGAAGGTCATGTTAATGATGTTCTCAGTATTTATTAAACAAACAATATCTGGATATCCATCTTCCTACTGTAAAATATGTATTGATAAAATTGTACCTGGTATTAAACCCCATAGTATGCGTAAGACTATTCCTACTTAAAGAGAGCAGTAGAAGAACTTTGATTTTTCTGAATTAACATTTTGACATGGAGTTTGGACATCCATCTTTGCTAAGGTCGTGGAATGTACAGAAGATTCAACACAAAAATCATCACAGGCAAAACTGAATCTTAGATTTCAATGCAGGAGAACCAAAAGCACCAAGAAAACTTCTAGGGGGAAAAAAAAAAAGTGAGAAAAATAAGAAGAAATTGATCTGGTAGCAGTTCTGATAGTTAAGTCTGTCGTAAGCTCTCAGATTTGTGCAACATCAGTGCTTTCTGCATGTCAGCATGCAGGGATTCATGGTAGTTGGCTTTTGCCCAAGGAAACCTACAGCTGGATATGACAGAATGCATGCTATTAATATGAGAGGGGAAAAAGCCAGATCAGTGTCTTAATTCCTCCATTGCTGTGTGAAGATATTCTGCTGGTTTTGCTCAGCATAAAATGCAAAGGCTAGAAAGGACTAACACTGTCAAAGAAGTTCAAGATACTAATGAAATACTGGGAATAGATTAAAAAAATGTTTCACTAGGGGGAAATCTCTGCCAGCCAACGGCCTGTCAGAACTCAGTGCGGAAACTTAAAAAGAGGGTAGTGTGTGCAGTTTTTTCCAAGACGTATCGAACTGATGTGATGGACTGTGGTCTTGCAAAAGAATTTAAACATTGAGACACAGATGCTGTGACATCATTTGTGACAAAAAAGCCCCAGGTTGTAGAACTGCAAGTCAGAGGCATATCAACAGGGGAATTGTCAAAACAATTCTGCCCAGAGAAGCTGTGGATGCCCCATCCCTGGAAGTGTTCAAGGCCAGGCTGGATGAGGCTTGGAGCAACCTGGTCTAGTGGAAGGCGTCCCTGCCCATGGCAGGGGGGTTGGAACTAGATGGTCTTTAAGGTGCCTTCCAACCCAAACCATTCCATGATTCTATGATTCTGTGAATTTTAGATTAATAGTCATTGAACTTTTAATACCGTGGAGCCAGGGGAAGTGAGAATGGCCTCCAGTAAGAGTGGAAGTGAACGCTGACAAAGGCTGATATATTTGTCTAGATGCAGCAGATAAATCTGTACATAATTTTTATCAGAATAATTTAAGTGATTGATGATAAAAAGCCAATGGGAGCAGTTTTGGGATTTGATTCAGAAGACTCTGTAATATCCATCCTAGGGGTAATCATTTCTGGGAAGTGCTCCACAGCAAAAAACACTTGTCAAAACTTCTGAAGTTTTAAGAGAGAATTTTTGAAATGTGTTGTGATTTGGTATTTCGAGTTGGCTTGTTAATAAAAATAAGTATCATCGAGGTTTTACGCAGCCTGCACGGTTTAAGTCGGCATGGATTTGAGGAAATAATTTAAAATGCCATATGTTGGTATTAAGCACAAGTACATTCCTCGTTCCCCGTTTGCCACTGCCATTGCCAAGTTTGAGAGCATAGCGATGCATAAATTTCATGGCTTAAATAGGTCTTTTATCTGAAATATTGGGGGAAAAAACTTCTCATGACTGTCGTCTTCAATGTAAAACAAATACTGAAATTTATCAGTTCGTAAATACAAGCTTTCCACTGTATCCAAGAAAGAGAATGTTAGTATCTGGAATGTATGTTCAGAAATAAATTGGAGCATCTGTCATGGCAGATGTGCCATTAGGCAGTTGGAGGTGGGTATAAAGGGCTTATCTGAACAGTTTGTTCTCAACAGTAGTAGGGGAAGGAGAATGTAGAAACTTAAGAATGTACGGCATGTAAAAACCGCGTGGCCAAAGCCAAGGCAACAGAGCCCGGCTTCATTAACACTTGGGTGTGTGGGAAGAATTTGGAGTGCAAACAGTATGGAAAACAGAATGTATTCTCACAGCAGTAAGATTTCTGCTTAGGGGTGTTTGTGACAGAGGTGTAAATGGGCTTTGGAAAGAAGATTAGTTTTCAGAACTATTTGATGTTGGAAATAGGTGAAAGAGTTGCACCATATTAACACAAAAATGCCTTTGCATGTTTGCTGTTGAGCTTTATTACTAATTGAAAAGCTTTATTCATCCTGGAATTTACTTTTTTTCCTCGAGATCAGATTGCGTGAAGTCCCTCTTGGATTTAGTGGCCAGAATGTAAAACAGCTTCTGATGTTTTCAGAGTTGCTGGCTGCCCCATTTTCCTTCCAAAACAGATCTGCATTAGGTTCTATCTACACAGTGTTAGCATTGCGATGTATTTTGTATGAAATGGGTTTCAAGGAGAGAGAATAACCTTAGGGATAACGTGTTCAGTTTTTGTCTGAGATCTTACTCTATCATAAGGGAGACCTTATTGCAGCCTTCCAATACCTGAAGGGGCTACAAGGAAGCTGGGGGGGACTTTTTACAAGGGCCTGTAGTGACAGGACAAGGGGTAACGGGTTTAAATTGAAATCAGGGAGGTTTAGATTAGATATCAGGAAGAAATTCTTCCCAGAGAGGGTGGTGAGGCACTGGGACAGGTTGCCCAGAGAAGCTGTGGATATCCCATCCCTGGAAGTGTCCAAGGCCAGGCTGGATGAGGCGTGGAGCAACCTGGTCTAGTGGAAGGTCTCCCTGCCCATGGCAGGGGGGGTGGAACTAGATGGGCTTTAAGGTCCCTTCCAATCCTCCCAACATGATAGAAGAGAGTTCAGTCCTGTTTCGAGCTTGTGGCTTTCCAGTAAATCCATGCAGTCTGTAATGCGTACGACCGCACTTGCGCAGGTGAGGCATCGGCTCAGTTCCCTTTGTCTTGTACTGTTCTGTTAGGCACTCCCTCTATCCTGGATATCCCTATACCCCTGGTTTTTCCTAATTTAGACTTTGCAGTCTGCAATCATGAGTACGTATAGAGAGATCAATACACTACCTCATGAGGAACTGTATTTTTTATGATTTCCTTAATTTCTGAATTTGTAGCTTAATGCTATAAACAAGGCATAAAAGGGTGGGGGTTTACATCCCATCTCACCAGTTTAATTTCAAGACAACAAACTTAGATGGATAAACTACTTAAAATAGCAAACCAGAATCTTAACATGTACGCACGTTACTTTTGAGACGTGCAGAAGTTGTGTTATCAGATACGTTAATTTTCCCACTGATTAGGTGTAAATGTGTCTGCTGGGCACAGATGATGCTTCTTAGCAGAAGCGGAGAAATCACCCCCTAGATCTTAGTAAACTACTGCTACGTTGAACCAAAACTGAGACAGTTCTGAGAGGGGTCTCCATGTGTTAGTGTACTGTGTCGGATCATTAATTTCATCTGAATTTCATGGAATCAGTAGGATAACAGGACAGAGAACTTCCTTGGCTCACTCTCCAATGGTCAGTGTTACTTGACAGCTGCTTCAGTATCTACTGACTGTTCCTGTGGCTGTAATGATGCCACAGGAAATAGGTGGAGCAATACTGTTTGAGGGGACATCAGGTTAGGCAGGATAAGGACATAAGGTTGGACGTAAGAGGACATAAGGTTGGCACTAACACCCCTGTTAGTGCCAACAAGGGTGTTGGTCTAATAGCCATTGCTTTGTAGATGTCACAGACAGGAATATGTGCCTCATCTGCTGTAGCACTGACAGCTTTTTGGGTAAAAGTCTACAGAAAGCAGCATCTCTGTATAGCAAGCCATTAGCTGTGTGGAAGGAAATTTTACTAGGAAGTTGTGTTTTATTAAAAACCACTGCTACGTACTATTTATTATTTATTACTTTATTTTATGTATGGGTGAGCTGTAGTACAGGCAGTAGGGGAACCATAAAAAACCTGAAATCGTGCTCTTTTTTCGTTTTTATACAGGAAAAGGACCAGCGCAGCCTAGACATCAATACTGCCAAGTGTATGTTGGGCCTTCTTTTAGGAAAAACGTGGTCCCTTTTTCCAGTATTTCACCAGTTTCTAGAGGTATGAAGTTTGAAACAATTAAATTTTTTGATTTGTCGTTGATACTTTAACTAGTGGTAGAATGAACAGCTAAGAATTTTGTGTCTGATTTAGAATATGCTAACCCCACAAAGCAGCACTTGTAACTGGTTACTCTCCTTTCTTCCTTTTCCCCAAATCCCTGTGCTGTGAAGGTTTATTTAGTGCAGGATGTAATGCATCAAAGTATAGAGTGTCTTTGATTTGCTTTTGGACTTTCATTTTATTGCTTATGTTTTGCCCACTACAAGGTGTCTTCATCAGAAACACGAATTATTCAACACTGGTTTGACTTAGTGGTTTCTCTAATCCTGTTTAGTTTTAGGTGGCATACAGATTAAAATAATAATCCATCACAAGGTTTAAATTTTCTGTAAGAAAATCTGAATTTGAGGGAGTTGATAGTCTATTTTAGTAACTTTTTTTTCTTGCCTTAAGCAGCAGTCGAAATACAAAGTTATCAATAAGGACCAATGGTGTAACGTTCTTGAATTCAGCAGAACGATTAACCTTGACCTCAGTAACTATGATGAAGATGGAGCCTGTAAGTACTACCATATGTTGGTGTTCTAAACTAATTTCTTTCTCTGAGCTTCATCATTCGGTGTCCTTTTACAAAATTTTTGTAAAATACAGTTATTTGATCTCTCTACAGGGCCAGTGTTGTTGGATGAGTTTGTGGAATGGTATAAAGGAAAACAGATGACATAAGAGCTTAACTATGCACAGCCACTCAAGAGTCACTGTTACCACAGTTATGTCAACCATTAGCCATAAACTGCTGTTCGTATCGAAGTGCATGCTGCTTTTCTTGCACTGCGTCCCTTTCACAGGGGACTTTTGATGTTTGCTATTTAACAAGCTAGCTATGCTTGCTGTGTAGCATTGTTCTCTTCGAAGGCTGCTTTGCATTTTGTATTTACACTACGGATTGGTGAACTTGCCAGCGTCTTCACTGTGATTATGTGTATATTGCTGTCTAAATTTTGTATAGGTGTATAAAAAAAAAAGCTTCATCTAGGGATTATTTCTGCAGAAATGTATTGTAAAAATAATTTTGTGGCATATTTCTAGTCATTACTTACATGTTTGTTCAAACTTTAGGTTGGTTTTTTTTGTTTGTTTTTCTTTTGGTCTCAAATGTAGCATTTCGGGAAATGAAATGAACAGACTGCTTGGACATAGTTATGTGAAGAACTAGTGTCAATTCTCATGTTACTATTTGAGATGCCAATTTCTGAGGGGAGAAGACATGCTGTGACTTTCTTCACCGGAATTCGCCGAACCCGACCTATTGCTTAATAGGAACGAAACGTTGGTGTCTTAGAATATATATATACACACACATATAAATATGAAAACACTGTAATAGTTGTACATGCCACAGATGACTTTCATTTGAAGAAACAAGTACTGACTTTTTAATGTTAAAACTGCAGTAGTCATTACAGGTACAAATGAACAAATTAAAGTACCTTTTAAAAATGGGTTTTAGACTTTTGTAAATTGCCTTTGGCATAACTCCTTTTAATTTTTGGTGTACCAAGAGCATTTGGTCCATGTTGTGATCTAGTGAAATTGAAAGTTCTAACTAAAATTAGTGGTTTGGGGAATAAAGTTTGCTCGCCCCTAGTAGTAGATAATGCAGATTTGGGGTTGGTTTTTGTCACATTAATCTTTCCCAGGGTCTCTAACTTTGTGTTTCTAAGTGATTAAAAATATGACATTGAATAGTCAAAACATTACTTTTGTGCTGAGGATTGGAATTTCCCAGCAGAACGTCCGTTGCAGGCGATGGACGTGTTAAACACCAGCATTAAATGACAATACTTTTTAGTAGGGACCACTGCCCTTTTCACTCATTTCTTTATCTGTAGAAGACAGTTCTGGTGATTCTTCTGGGGAAAATGAACGAATGGAATGGTGTTTAAGTTCTGTAATTACGTCATGTTGTCTTTGCCTTACCCTTCGTCATTCGGTAACGTTAGTGTTGATTTTTATAAATAAGTTCTCAAAGTACCCGGTGCTATTAAAACTTTGATCCCTAAGGATTTATTAAAATGTTCCATATTGATTCATGGAGCATTTAATAAAAAAGGGCCAGTGGATGTTTTAGGAGAATAACATTACTTTTCTGTAGAAATATTTTACAAGGTATTGGCAGGTTTGATATGTCTCCAGAATGCAATCCAGGAGAAGGGGGGGATAGTGGTTTAGGTTGAACGTGAGATTTTCAGCTGTACTGAAGGTCCTGTTCTGCCATCACTGAAGCCAGGAACAACTTGACTGCTTTCAGGATCAAGCAGAGTTTAGCAAAAGCACATCCCTTTGCTGCCCTGGACCAGGAGGTTGTAATGGTGGTGCTACAGGTGCTCGGTTGCGTTCTACTCTGTGGTGGGGGATTTTGTTGGTCAAACTCAGCTGCCAAAGACAAAAACTGTTTGTGTATACTTGTATATACATAAATATACGATGTGTGTGGATACACAAAACCTAGACTTCCATGATGATAAGAAGAAAACACTGCCTTTCCCCGTGAAGTAGTGGTGTTCGCATTGCTGTGGCACAAAACAGCGCTCTTTACTAGTGGTAGAACCTGCGTAGTTGTTGCTCTCTCACGTACTAATGCGCATAACCTTAATTCCGTGTTCGATGCCAGTTTGCACAAGAAATCAATTCAGTGGAGTTTGGTATTTAATGTTTACAATGAGCCTCTTACTAAAACACACATGTTTTACTAAGACTTCTGCTGTAAATGTGTATATTACCATAGCATAGCTGTAAGGAAATATCAGTGGAGCTGCTGGTTTAGTTCTTAAAAGAATGAACTTAGAAGCAATATAACTGTTAACATTAGGCTAATTGTGCTTGCGAAGATTTTAAGTGAAATAGTGCGATTGTTCTTAAATGTTTAGCTAGTTACCGACTTTAGAAAACTGTTTAGCACAGATTGGCATGAATCCTGCAACAAATACAGGGTTTGCATAGAAGGTTTTGTACATCACGAATCAGTTGGCTTCCAGTAGCGGAAGCGAGAGCCAAAGACACATCTGTTGCTGTTAGAGGTATAACTCCTATCACAGGGTCAACAGAAATCTGTTCAGCTCAACCAGGTGCTTGTTTTCCGATTTTGGCTAACGTTTAGCAGAATACAGAATATTAAGTAAAAGTCAAAGAGACGGGATAATAAACCTCAGAAAACGCTCGCACTGGAACAAACTTCATTTTTTCTTTGGGTGAAGGTAATGAGGAACAATGAAAGAGAAGGATGTGTTTGGAGGTGCTGCAGGTGCTGCAATTCTTTTTCCTCCTGCTTGCGAGGAGGATGAATCTGGTCTTCAGCTGGTTTATAAACATGTGTCTTCATAAAATAAACCACAGATTCAAGTACAGCCGGTGAGCAGCTTTACTGACATGTGTAGAGAACAAATGGACTACAGTGGAGCCGTACGGCTTGATAAGCTTCCCTGTGCTCTCCATCCTTCTGTTTTTCCTCTATATGCTGATAGGGAGGGGTTCCTACCATTGCCAGCTCTTGTATTTTGGAGAAATTCCCTCTCAGTTTTAAATAACTATGGAAACTTACCTAAGCTACTCCGTTTACCTTGTGTTTAGTACAAGTTTGGTGTTTGCTTTTTTGTTATGCCATCGTATCGTTGGTGTAGGTTTTTCCTTTTGCAAAGGAACACACGGAATACGCTGACTTCTCGGACAAGACACTGAGATGCCGTTCTGGTAGAGGCGTCGTGGGGTTTACGCTAGTCTTTCAGGTGCACTGTTACTGTCCTTCTAGCAGAAACTTGACAATCTGTGTGCCATTCACGCCTGGCGTTTGGGAGATGTAAGGTGGAAAGCCAGTTAGTGAAAGGCAAACAGCATCCAGAGACTACAGCAGCGGGTGCTCTGCGTTGGTAGATGACAAACGTTTGGAGCTCTTCAGACTCGATGATCTTAAAGGTCTTTTCCAGCCTAAATGATTCTCTGAATATTAGTAACCTAAACACTCCATGGATTAAATTTCATTCTAGAGCAAAATAATATAAAGTATTTAAAATACTAATGTAATTATATGTACTGTTGGTTTTTTTTCACTTTTTAGCTTTTTCAAAGAAAGTAAGCTGAAGAGGATAGAATTTATTGGAAACCTTTATGTGCCTGAGTTTTCAGTTAAAACCTGTTGAAGGTTATCTTTAAGCAACAGTAAATATTTGGGTTACCTTTGCGTAGCCTTTTCTAACGTTCGTAGAGAACTGGAGGCTTCTCCCATCTTACCACAAATACCTGCATTTTATTTCACACAATCGGAATCAGTCACAGCTCGTTGCTCCTTGGTTCATGTTCCCAAGTTATATTTTTTGGAGGACAAGAAATAGTCTTCAGCTGTGTTAAGGTTTTCCCAGATTTCTGTTGACCCTTGGTCACAAGCCTAACAAGCTGTTTAGTACTCTTGGGGTCCATATAGAGAGCTTTAAAGGTTAGCTTGTGCCCTGGTTTTAATTACAACTGCTCAAATACCTCTTCCTAGGCCTTACATTTTGTCCTTTCGTATTGCTGTGAAAGTGTGCAGAGTCCATCTACCAACCAAATAGTTTGTTGCCTGTGATTGAGACCAAAACTTTGCTTGATATTTTTTTTTTGGTTGGTTTTATTTTAACATTTTTTTTCCCCTCTGTGTGTGTACGTACGTGTGTGGTCACAAATTAGTACCTACCGACACGGCTGTTTCAGGAACAGCAGTTAACCTGTAACTGTGAATGCTCTGTGTCACATTTGGTTACCTGGGTATTACATCAATGAGGGGTGCTAAACTCCTGCGACTCCCGACCCGACGGAAATACTGTTACGCCACCAAACACGAGTCCATCCGGTTGATTTTTAGGTCTTTTGCTGATGTTGATGTAAAATGGCATCCCACAAATAAACAGTATTTGTGTTGGTTTCAGCAACTGACTTCAGATTTTTCTGTGGTTCGTACTTCAGAAATTCTCTATCTGAACGTGCATCACGTCAGCTGGCGGCCTTTGTCGTTCAGTAGCAGAGAACTTGTATTGTCATCCTTATTCCAAAGGCAAATCCCTATTTAAAGCTTTGTTGGAAAAAGGCGTGTTTCGGATGAAGGTGTGTTTCAAATGATGTGCGTGGGTGTAAAACAGTATTGTACTACGCAAGTTTTCAATGAAAAGAGTCAGTTTGAACAGGAACGTTGTACAAAATTTTACGAGGAGCGTCGTCATTACCTGCTCACCTTGACACAGGCTTTTGGCCCACGCGGTCCTCGGCAAAGCTGTTGGTGTATGGGCTGGATGAGCCGAGAGGCACTGTACCCCAGGGGTCAGTGCTGGGTCCAGTCCTGCTCCACATCTTCATTAATGACCTGGGTAATGGGGCAGAGTGTACCCTCAGCAAGTTTGCTGATGACACCACACTGGGAGGAGTGGCTGTCACACCGGAGGGTCGAGGGACCTCCATAGGCAGTAGAAACGGGCTGGCAGGAGCCTCAGGAACTTCAACCAGGAGAAGTGCAATGTCCTGCACCTGGGAAGGAACAGTCCCCACACCAGTATATGCTGGGGGCCGCCCAGCTGGAAAGCAGCTTGGCAGAAAAGGACCTGGGGGTCCTGGAGGACACCAAGCTGAAGATGAGCCAGCAGCGTGCCCTCGCTGCAAAGAGCACTGATGGCATCCCGGGCTGCGCTAGACAAAGTGCTGCCAGCAGGTCGAGAGCAGCGATCCTTCCCCTCTGCTCCGCTCGGTGAGGGCACACCTGCAGTCCTGTGTCCAGGGCTGGGCGCTCCAATAGCAGAGACCAGCAAGGGGCCATGAGGAAGGATCGTGAAGGGACTGGAGCATCTCTCCTGTGAGGAAAGGCTGAGGGTGCTGGGGCTGTTGGTCTGGAGATGAGAAGGTGCTGGGGGTATCTGATTAATGCGTGTGAATACCCAAAGAAGATGGAACCAGACCCCTTTCAGCAGTGCCCAGGGACAGCAGCCAAGTCAGTGGGCAAAAACTGAAACAGAGGAATTAGCTTTTTACTGTGAGGGTGACAGAGCACTGGCCCAGGTTTCCCAGAGAGGCTGTGGAGTCTCCATCCCTGGAGATACTCAAAACCCAGCTGGACGTGGCCTGGACAACTGGCTGTCGGTGGCCCTGCTTGAGCAAGGCAGTTGGACCAGACGACCTCCAGAGGTGCCTTCCAACCTCAGCCACTCTGATTTCTAAAAGACCAGTTTCTAAAGAAAATTCTCCGAGTTACTCAGGTGTGGTGCTGGATGAGAAGACCCATCTAGTAGTATGTACATGTGGTGATGTTTTGATCTGGGAGTCTGTTTATGACCTTACACACTTGTGGGTTTTTTGCTTTTTAGAAGAGTTTTTCAACTTGACTTGCAATGAGCTCTTGAGTTGATCTTTTTAAAGCAAAAATGATAGTATCTAAGCAGAACAGTAGAATTCACAGATTTAGTTTTTAAAGGAGCTATTAATTAATCTTACTACCTTGTATTGTTTACAGGGTTATAAATCTGGTTTTGAATAGGAAAAAGACTTAAAAGCTGGCAAAGAGAATAAAGAAACATGTAAGAGATGTCACGATTTTTTTTTTTTTTAAATATTTTGCGCTATTTGAGCCACCAATCCTAAGGCTCACGACTTAAAACAGTGTTTTACGTTGCGTGTATTTACGTGACCATTAGAATATTGTAATGCAGAGTCTGGTTTAGAGCAGCAGTTCTTCATTATGTTCATGAGCCCTCAACACCAGAAGGATATAGACTGGTTGGAGCGAGTCCAGAGGAGGCCACGAAGATGCTCCGAGGGCTGGAGCCCCTCTGCTATGGGGACAGGCTGAGAGAGTTGGGCTTGTTCAGCCTGGAGAAGAGAAGGCTCCGGGGAGATCTTATTGCACCTTCCAGTACCTGAAGGGGCTACAAGGAAGCTGGGGGGGGACTTTTTACAAGGGCCTGTAGTGACAGGACAAGGGGGAACGGGGTTAAATTGAAAGTGGGGAGGTTTAGATTGGATATCAGGAAGAAATTCTTCATGGAGAGGGTGGTGAGGCACTGGGACAGGTTGCCCAGAGAAGCTGTGGATGCCCCATCCCTGGAAGTGTCCGAGGCCAGGCTGGATGAGGCTTGGAGCACCCTGGTCTAGTGGAAGGTGTCCCTGCCCATGGCAGGGGGGTTGGAACTGGATGGTCTTTAAGGTCCCTTCCAGCCCAAACCGTTCTGTGATTCTATGATTCTATGTTGGTGATGAAGGCCAGGGTTGCCCTCACCGCTTCTCAGAATGTAGCCTGCTGCTTCTATTCACCAGAGGGTGTGAGTCAGTCTTCTGTACCATGACAACTTTAATGTTACTATCCCAATAGTTTCTGATGTTAATGATATGTAGGTTAAATGTGAATGTGTTCTCTTTATGTTCAAGGGTTGTTTTCCAGCCCAGTCAGCAGCACACTCCGGAAAGATTGAAATGCTTAGTACCTATAGCAAACAGCTTGGTAACAACTTCCTTGCAGGGAGGGGATAAAAAGGTGGTGTTGCTTACAGCCCTGTAACTGCAGCTGGTTTTGCACCAGGGTAGGGATTCTAGGAAGTTCTCAGTGACCAAACCAGCTAACCGAGTGAAGTTTTACGTGTGAACAAGGTGTAAGCAGGTGAAATGTAAAGAAAACATGAGTGTGTGAGATCTGAGAAGGAGTTGGGGACTGTGTAGCTCTTGCATACAGAGGGCGTGGAGAAACAGGATGGATGGAGAGGAGCAGAGCATGAAGGTGCAAGGTTAGGCAGAAATCTGAAGGCAAGTTTGAGGCCGAACATACCAATATTCTGACAACAGAATGAAATACTTCGTCACATGTTAAAAACCCCTTGATGAAGGAGCAAATTTATTTGATGAGAACAGCAGATAAGCTTTTTCTGTAACTTTATGGCATAAAGGGAAGCTTAGAAAACTCGCAGCCTCTCACAAGTAGCGTTCTGTCTGCATTCCCGCTGCAGCGTTCCCGCGGTCGGAAAAAAGATGAGAAAACAGTTTTCCAATATAGATTTTGAAAGCCCGCTGAAACGTAGCGGGAGCAGGTGACAAAACCTCACGGTGCATGAGACGTCAGCAGCGCCGCTCAAATTCTTTTCCCACAATCCATGACATCGGCTTGCTTACGGAGTTAGCAGCTGGCACTGCCGAAAGGTGACAGACCCCGGGGAGCTCTGCCAACGGAGTCGTGACGTACCATCAGGAGCAAGTCTGCGCTGCTCTAGGGATTATTTTTGAAGTTGCTTTGGCCACGAGTAAGTTGTGTGGGTAACGGGTTTACTGGACACGGGTTACGGGCGCTGCTGGGGAGGAAACGCTGCCCGGGTTTCTGCTCCTGGTGGGCTGGGTTGCGGTTCCTGTGAGGAATCGCACTCAGGTTACCCAGTTCTTTACCTCTAGGCAGCCTCTAAAAAACACAGCTGGTCTTTGGTCACGGGCTGCTCTCCGAGAACGGCAGCCTTGCCTTCCGTAGACCCCAAGGCGTTATGTGAGGATTGAGAGTGCGGGGATTGGGAGAGGAAAATTGCAGTAGATGGGGGTATAACGTTTATGGACACAAATCCTCAAGGAGTGAGTTGTGGTGAGAAACATACTTTATTGTAGGGTTCCTGTATTTTTAACGTTTCTGGGAATGCTGTGATTTTTGCAGATTTGGGTGTTTTGTCTTTTAGTTCTCATCCACAAGAGGATTTCACCCGTGGCTCCGGAGCAGACTTCTGCTGAAGGAACGGAGCCAGTGCTTGCTCCCGAAAACCTTCCTAGTTGTCAGTGTAGGGATGGCTGAGTGCTGGAGCACAAAGGACAGAAATCCTCTGAGAACTAATCGGAAAGCAAGCTGATCGGTGTGAATGACAGCAGGTTCGGTGCTTGTAACTGAATTACAGCTGTTGCCGAGTTCTTGTTGTTTGCAGATGCTGTGGTGACCCGAATCAAATGCACGCAGCGCCTACCCGAAACTGCCGCAGGCTTGGCTCGGAGTTGGGTTAGAGGTTTGGAGAAGGTCAGCTGGAAAAAAACCCCACAACAACCCAATAGGAGATCTAAGCGCAGGTGACTTGGCTCAGTAAATACGTAACTGATAATTGTGATGGCCGATGTGTACACCAGTCATCTAAAAGGAACTTGAGGAGTAAAGAAGATACTTTTCAGAAGATCAAACAACACCAGTCCTTGTCTCCTTCGGTGGGTTTAACTTGCCTCTTAAGCTTTTTGCAATACTTCTTTTTAATTTTTGTTCCAGCTACGTGAAGCTAACAAAAATTACAGTTGGCACCTCTGTTCTTTCCTGGCTTTCTCTTAAAAGAGAGTTTCAAAGGTATGCTGTGCTGTCGGACTTGCTCCTCCTCTGATGGAATCAAAATGTTTTCCCTTTGTGCAGGTTTTAGTGAATGTAGTTGTGTCTCCGTAACAGGGTTTTCCCGGAGTAGCTGGCCAGCCTCCTGCATCTTGTGGGTACCTGACCCTGTTCCCCTTTGTGATGGCATTCCCCGTCAAGGACTACATCAGTGATACTGTGCTCGTTCAAATGGCCTCGGGCCATACTGGGAGAAAATTTTATCTTGTAATTGTTAGCCTTTGGCTTAGAAAAAGTTCCTGTGTGTCAAGCTGTGACAGACAGCAGTTTTGAGCTGCTCTTGGTTTGCCCCTCTGTGGAATTGGGAACTTGGGGCAGAATCATGAAGTCTTTTCCAACCTAGAGGATTCTAAAATCACCCAATCCAACCGTTAACCCAGCACTGCCAAGTCCACATCAACACTGTGCCCAAGGATCCTTTTTTATAGGGAATTGCAGCTTAGTAACAGTAGGTTCTCTATTTTTTTTTTTTTTTACATTCCCCTGCCTGTGTCATCACATCTGTGAGCTACAGGTGACGTCCCACCTGTACCCAGATCGCCACAAGTGACGTTTTTGCAAGGTTTGAACTCCCTTCTGTCTCTGTGAGAAAGAAGGGTTGCATTACTCTGTCTCGCCAAGTAATTTTTAAAGTGTATCTGAACGCTGCTTGGGCTTTACCCATCTTTGCAAAACTGGGAATCCAGTGACACTTAATCCACAAATTTGGTTCAAAAAGCAGAAGATACAGCAATACGTACCGTTTCACTGCATAGGGTGAGACCCACAGGAAAACGGTAACAGTAATAATGCAACGATAATTTCAGTGTTCCATTTATTTTAGACAAAAAGAAACGAATCAGTGCATTATCAGAGGCAAATTCCAAGGGAAACAAATACCTTAGTAGCAACAATAATGAGGAAGTAAATATATTAATATAATTCTTACTCAGCAAAAGTTTTATTATCAGTTATAACTATTGAGTAGTTGATTCATTTGAGTATCCTGGAATTGTTTTTCATAAAATCTGTTCGTGTTTTCTTAACAAGTACCCTTCTAAACAAAAGTCCGTGGCTTCTGGCCTGAATTACCCTTTGGAACTGCACCGTTTGTAAACTGGCTGGATTCGAGCCTACGCGTCTCGTTCAGTCTAGTTCCACCCCTTGGATTCCTGAAGTTACGGCAGATAGTTGTACTGAGGGGAAACAACCCCGACCCCAGGACAACCCGTGGTGTTTAGCCGTTGTTAAAAGCTTCACGGTAAGACACAATCATTTTTGCACCCACTGTGTGACATAGGCACCGTGGGAGCTTAGCGTCACGCTCCGGTGTCTCAGCTACTGAAGTCTGTTTTCCTGCTTTGCAAAATATTAGCAAATCCATCAAATGCTCTTTTCTTCTTAACAAACACCTGGCCTTGTCCTGAATTGGCCTGACTTTTGTGACCGGGGTTTTCGCTGGAGTTTTGGAGGTTACCAGCTGTTGCGGAGTTGTTCTGCAGTCCTGCCGAAGTAGTGCCATCCTCCGTCTTGCCGGAATCGGAGATTGCAGTGTTTTGTGGGATTGAACATGAACGGTACCGTGTGCTTTCAATGAGGAAGCCTTGTGGGACTGAGGAATATGCATCCCCATCACTCTCATGCAGTGGGAGGTGATCTTCTGTGTTGAAGACTGATTGCGTTTTCCCAGAAGAGGGAAGATGCAGCCAATCTGCCGTAAGATTGCGAGACCACGTTTCTTGGGGCAGGCTACACGGGCTGGCATCCCGTAATTCTGTGTATCCATCCCAGTTTTTCCCATTAAACCCTCCGTGCGCTTTATCTGCACAAGCCTCAGTTGCGTTCGCCTCCTCCCCCTGTGGCAGCAAGTCTTTCTCTGTAAGGAAACGCTTCCCGGCTCGATGTTCAGGCGGGGATGGAAGAGGTGACTCGGTGCGGGAACGCAGCGGCGATGGTTTCTCAACAGCTTCATTCAAACCCACGTTGGTGGGAGCACAAGTGAAATCACTGTCCTCAGAGGCAGACGTGCTTCTTAACGCAGCGTCGCCTCCACCGCGATGCTTCGCAGGGGAGTTCCTGTCCACGTGCTCATCCGTGCTTCCCTCTGGTGCGCTTTCCTGTTGTTCAGCGGGACTGAAGCCGAGGGAATGCTGTGGTTCAACGGGAAACCGATACAGCTGCAAGTCAGCCTCTTCAGGAGCGCTCTCAGTGTCCATGTCGTACGTGGGGGAATGCTGTAGCGAGAGCAATGCGTAACCAAGACCCGGACGTCGATTGTGGAGAGAATCGGAAATAGAGTTTTCTGGCTCTGTGTTAGTAGAATAATCAAACATGTCACAAACTTCTTGACTTGAAGAACTCACTGTGTCTGAATCTGACATGCTTACGTGGTCACCGCGTTTATCAGCGTCAGGGGATGCTGTTCCTGGCACGATGGTGTCTGATCCATCGCTGGTGGCTTCAAAATACGCGTTGTTCTCTTCTGCATTTCCCCCAGGATGCCGAAGCTCAGCAGCAACGTGTGGAGACCCTGGGAGCGTCGAGAACGTCTCCGTTCCGCTGTCCATCTCCGCTTCGGCTAGTGACGGCTGACAGACGGCCGGGTTGTCACTAACACGGGGTTGTTCCAGGTCAGAGTCTGCTGAAGAACTGCAGTCGCTCAGTGTGAACGGCGTCCCTTCATCCGAAGAACTATCGCCAAGTGTATCTGCTGAAGCATCTTTCTTCAGGTTACAGTTGTACTCTGTCAGAGGAGAGTAGACACTTAAATTCTCAGTATTTTTATCTTTCTTGCAGCTGCTGAGTGAAATTAAATCTCCCCCATCACTGGTCGTCTTTGTGTGGCCATTTAGAACGAGTTGTCCATCAGGGCTTTGCCTTCCAAGCGTAAGTTTTGTAGTGCTCGTGGGCTCATTATATGAAACAATACCTCTTCTTTCAGGAGAACCTGCTGTAGCCTTTGTGATTCCAGACTGCGGTGGAGCAGGGTTGTTGCTTACCTCGCCGTTCCCAGAATCTTGCGCAACTGGATGTGTTTGTGTTGCGGAAAGGGATAAATCTGAATCCGAAGAGTCGGTGTGATTTGAGCAAGAGTTGGCACTCGATCTCCTGCGTACGGGAGGGAACCTGCTCTCCTCGGAGTCTGCATTATTTGCATATCTTGAATCTTCACGTAATGAAACGTCATTACTCGTTAATTTTCTTGGCGTGTCTTCACTGCTGTTCTTGTAATCCATCCTTATGGAAAACGGTCCATTATCGTAAGCCTTTATGTTTTCATCAGTATCTGGTGCATGTACGTTGCTACCAGCGACGTGCTCGTGAAAAGCACAAGTTTCTGTAGGAAAAATGCACGTGTTTCTCGAAGAATTCTCGTGGCGAATGAACAGATGGCGCTGCACGTGTGTTGCTTTGCCTGCAGAGCACTCCCTGCTCACGGCTTCATCCGAGAAAGCTCGATTGGAATAAGCGTGTTCCGCACGTGAGTTTTTGTTCCCGCGCATCAGTCTCCACAGGCTGACGATGTAGGGTCTAGCGAAAGCGCCCAGGCAAAACGCGCAAATGAACGTGATGAGCACCGAGAGGCAGACGGCCAAGGCGAGGTCTTGCTCTGTTCTTCCCTGTCTGACAACAGTCTTGGTGTCCCTGGCTTTTCTAACCAAAACTCTTGAAACCCTTTCTTCCACCTGTGTGCTGTAGATGAGGTATTTCGTCTTTGTTGTGTTCCGAAGACACAAGTATAACCCTTCATCAGTTTTCTCAGCGTTGTGTATCACTAGATTATTCAGTTCATCCAGTGTCATGTGAGGAAGACCGTTATCTTTTGAAATTCTGCCTTTAGGTGACCACCAAGGGACTCTGGTACCTGAAATAAAAGAAAACGCAAACTAAATCTTTCTTAAAAGTACAGGATACGTGGTTTGCAGGTCGAGTTATTTCTATAAGAACATGCTCTCACCTAGCTTCGATAACTGTAACTATTCATGAGTAAATCCGTTATCTTTTTGTCCTTCCTTGTCGTTTTACATGGTACCAAGTATCTGCTAACAAACCATCGTGTGTTCCCCCTTGTTTAAAACACGGTACGAATGGGGTCTGGGGTGCAGGGGCTCCAAGCAAAACAGCGGGGGTGAGGGAGGAGGTCACTGCCACGATCCAAGGATGTTCTGGGTCATACTGGAAACGGCTGCCGACCTCCCGCGTGGATCCATACCCATAGCCAGCCGCTCTCTGGCGTGGCCGTGGTCACGTGTGCAGCTGGGAGGGACGGTCAGTGTCTCAGCCACCCGGATTTTCCGGTAGTTGCTGCTTTGACTGCAGTGCAGAGGTGTGAATCACAGAATCATGGAATGCTTTGGATTGGAAAGGACCTTAAAGACCATCTAATTCCAACCCCCCTGCCATGGGCCGGGACACCTTCCACTAGACCAGGTTGCTCCAAGCCTCATCCAGCCTGGCCTTGAACACTTCCAGGGATGGGGCATCCACAACATCTCTGGGCAACCTGTCCCAGTGCCTCACCACCCTCTCCGGGAAGAACTTCTTCCTGATATCTAATCGGTCCTTTGTTTGCATTCCCAAATTAAGTGATAAATTTGCAACATACAACTCACCAAAACCGATTTGTGTGTAACGTGGCATCACTTACTAGTTTAATGTAAAGGAGATGAATTTTTGGGACACGCGACTTTGAAATATTCTAACCGGCGTGCTACTTTCTAATGAAATAATTTGCATCTGAAATAGTTGTTATTTTTAGATAGTACCTTTAGAAATCCTCTTTTTAAACCAGATTTCTGTGCTCATTCTCAGTGCGTTTGGGTTTTAGCAGCGTATGGACAGAGTCCCGGTTTTACATACCCCTCGTGTTGCCCAAGTCACACTTCAGCACCGACGTCTTCTCTGCTGGGATTACAGCCCTCTTGAGCAAAACGCTGTCGCTGCAGTTGAAATGGGGACTTGAAAGATACAGCAGAGGTTTCTGGGAGTTGCTGGCAGATTTACGGTATGAAATACTCAGTTTTTTCCTCGTAGAGTCAAAAAGAAGATGAAATAGGTGTTTGAAAGCATGTAGTCTGCAGTTAAATACCCAGGCATTATTTGACAAACCCACTTCAAGCTGAAAGACGTTCAAAGTGATCAATATCTGTGGTAAAGGGGTTGCCAGAGGATTTTGACGGAGATCCACGACCTATTTGGAAATAATTCAGAATTAATTTGGTAAAGCCTTACAATGGAATCCTAATAGCAATATCAACCATAACAGTAACCTGGTCTAGTGGAAGGTGTCCCTGCCCATGGCAGGGGGGTTGGAACTGGATGGTCTTTAAGGTCCCTTCCAACCCAAACCGTTCTGTGATTCTGTGATTTATTTTAGTATACAAGCACTTTTGGAGTTATGGGAGCGATACACCTGATTAGGATTTCAAGAATACTGTTCTAAGCTTTTTAATTTAAATGACAGGTTTAAACTGTGGTACATTTGGAATTCTCCCGTGGTAGACCACCTCCCGTGTGAGTGGGAAGCCGCAGGGCTCTCGCCATGGAAGGGACGGGGGTGGAAAAGGACGTGTGTGGGTTTAAGCCAGTAATGGATTGGTTTGTGGCACGGATAGATGGTGCATTGATGGCTACGTTTTGTATGTTTACAAGTGTGTGTTTTCCTGTATGTGAAAAGCAAGTATATATTCTATAAAAATAATAATTTTCACCATTTGTTTCAGTTTGGATGAGTACATACTAATGTAATAATCAAAGACCAATATAATCATGCTGCGTAGCTGATAATTAGTATGGCGATTAACACAAAGCAGCTGTAATATTGCTTTACGACCTGTAATTTGTTGAGATCCCCGAAGGCGTCTGAATGAACTTCCGTTATCTTGTTGTTCTGCAAGTGGATGTCCTCCAGCTGTGAGCAGCTTTGAAAGTCACTGGGGTCAACCTGTCGTATGCCGTTGGATGACAGGCGGACAGTCTGCAGAGAGGGCAGCAGGCCTAGTCCTGGGGAGAACAAAACCGTTTTACATTCCACGTTTTTGTTTTCCCATTTGCATCAAGTGGCTTTCAAAAATTCTTTGCAACGGAATTCCTTCCGTTCCTGTCCGTCGCAAGGAGCGGCTGCAGGCTCTGAGTTACTACACCTGCCCTGCTCAGCGGCTGCCCCCTCCTCCGGGGGGGGCCGAAACGACGG